ATTGTGGGTTATCTGTAGCAGCGAAGGATATACCTCATGCATCCTCCGAATTCCCGTGAAAGAAGGTTGCATTCGAAGGTCACATTCGGAGTGTCCTACTTGCTTTTCTGAAATGAGACAGCCTCGATGACGTATGCAGCCTTCGAATGCGACCTCCGGAGGGTGCAGCCTTCTAAATGAGACACAGCTACAATCTCCTTTTTGTCTTCTGCTGAAAAAAGAAAATCATTTGCGTTTGTAATGAAGCGCCCAATACTGTTCTCCTGTTCGATTTTACAGGTTGGTAAACGAGAACGAAGTGAAACAATGGAAAGAGCAAGCGGAAAAAATGAGAAAAGGTACATGACCCTATGAGCTGTATATTGATTTAAGTGACTGTTTACCCTCAGGAGACTTTGAATGTGTTTATATGTGCCTTCATCAGCATGGGAATCAGCGATGACATTGCTGCTGTTGTCAAATACTGAAGCGTTTGTGCATTTTGATTTCAACTTTTTTCTTTGTTTTCTCTGGCTTGAATCGTAGAACATAATGAACTTCAGCAGAAGCTGGAAAAGAAAGAAAGGGAGTGTGATGCAAAAGCCCAAGAGAAAGAAGAAATGATGCAAACTCTCAATAAGATGAAAGAGAAGCTGGAAAAGGAAAGCAGCGAACATAAACTTGTTAAGCAGCAAGTTGCTGACCTTTCTGCCCGGTTACATGAGATGAGTAATGTATGTTACATACGCACAATGTGCCTCTTTCAAAACCCAGTGAATTGTTTTCTCTCTACAGCAACCTAACTGAAATGGAAACTCATAAGGGATTGAACTGGAATGAGCACTCGGCTCCTTACTGAGAAAAAAAAAAAAAAACTGCTTAATCCAGCCTATGATTTTTTTTAATTAGTGTGAAATAATTTATTTCTAATTAGTGTGTGTATATATATATATATATATTATATATATATATATATATATATATATATACTGTATTGTAGTTGTATAATGGTATTGTATGATTACCATATTCACATACCATGGTGTTTTCAGAATGCTCTAATATTGTGAAAATATCACATCCAAAATAATAATAGTAGTTCCAGTAGTACTTGTTTGCATAACTGTGTTAGTCTGTGAACACATTGTCAACAGGGGTTTGGAACAGACCAAAATGTGGTTTTCATTGTTTTTGCTTCATATTCATAATAGATCCAAAGCCTCTCAACACTTTTGCTTCACATTCCTATTGTGTCTTGTTTTTTTTTTAGAGGACAAATGTCCCAGGAGGCCCCCCACTCGTCCCGTTGGCCCCTGGTAGCATCCCACCTCCACCACCAGGTCTGGCTGGCATTCCTCCTCCGCCACCTTCAGGTGGAGCACCACCGCCACCGCCCCCTCCACCTGGCGGACCACCACCTCCTCCAGGCCTGCCCGGATTTGGTGCTCCTCCACTTCCTGGAGGACTTCTGGGCTCCATGCTGAAGAAAAAGAACATCCCTCAGCCGTCCAATCCGCTCAAGTCTTTCAACTGGACCAAACTCAGTGAAGTGAGTTTGTAAATTTTATTACTAATTCCTATTCACCATTTCAGACCATTGATCGAATTGATGTATTAAAAAATTATATTTTGATACCTCGACACTGCAATATTTATGAAATATCTTACATCAGTGATCCATCATGTTTTTTTTTTATAATTCAGAGATAATAATGGTCACGAGAGGCCATTATTTTTTTTTTTACCATTGTTAGATATGAAGTAGAACAGTAAAACTATAGCGGCAACAATATTGTAATTGATATCAATGTTTATTTTTGATTAATATTAATAACCACAATAATTCCAATAATTAATAACAGGAGGGGGCAATTCATTTTTCACATAGGGCCACGTAGGTTTGGACAGCTTTTTTCCCTTAATAAATGAAATCATCATTTAAAAACCGCATTTTGTATTTACTTGCATTATTTTTGTGTAATATTAAAATTAGTTTGATGATCTGAATCTTTTATGTGTGACAAATATGCAAAAAAAAAAAAAAAAACAGGAAGGGGGCAAAAACCTTTTCACACCACTGTATATACACACACACACACACACACACACACACACACACACACACACACACATATATACATATATATATATATATACACACACACACATACATATATAGTTTATATATATAATAATTTATGCATTTAGCAGACGCTTTTATCCAAAGCGACTTGCAGTGCATTCAGGCTATACATTTTTTACCAGTATGTGTGTTCCCTGGGAATTGAACCCATGACCTTTTGCGCTGCTAACGCAATGCTCTACCACTGAGCCACAGGAACATATATGCATGTATATACAGTATATATATTGCATAAAGAACTTGTTGTTGCATTGTGACATTATTTTCATGGAAATTAAGCACATTTCATGGTTTATCATTTCTATTATTTCAGTGATGTTTGTCATTCCAGTTATACAGTGGTCTTTTAGTGGTGTTACATTAAAAAGCTATAATACAATGATTTTTAACATTAGAACAAGTGCAACACATAAAAACAGTACAACAAATACTACAATGAGTTCAAATTAAAACTATAGTTTAATTATTTGATATATTAAAACGAGAGTTGTTTTTTTGTCTTTTGCTTAATTGTCATTAAAAATAATAATTTGAATTGCCCTAAGATAGGTTTCATGTTTTATCCTTGCCAAATATAATTTCTTTGTTTTTGAAATTAAATAAGTCATTTTCTTGTGAGATTTCACCCAAATAAATAGTAAGTATCGTAATCAATAAGTACCTTGGTAGTATATATCAAAGAACCATCTGATACTATCATAGTACCATCGTACCAGCATTGTACTTTTTATGTAATGTTAAGCGCATTCTTTATGCAGATGATCACCAAATTGTTGCCTTTTGTAGCATAGCTGAAAACGCAATGAACCTAATGTCAGTTTATTAGCATACATTTCAAGATGTGTCTGTTCGTAATTAGCCAAGTTGGTTACGAGGCATGCAGTTGGTTTTGCATGCATCTGGAGTTTATGCTAAGTTGAAGGAGACAGATTTCTACCAACTAAAAAAAGAAATATCCCCCTGTTCTTGGACAGATTCCCTTCCACTCATTTCACCCTCTTCCTCCTCCAAATAAAACCCGGCGTGCCATCGTCTAAACACGCAATTTCTTGCTGTCTGCTTCCCAGCTGGCACTAAAGAGGAAGATTTTCAGCCTCTGTTGTGGATGTCTGGTTGTGTCATGAACATGTTGTCCTGTGTTAAAAATTACTGTTTGGATTTTACTTTTTAGACAGCAGGTTTCTTGTTGTTTTCACATTCTGTCCAAATCTGTATTTGATTGTGTCTCGTGACTGTGATTCTGCTTTTTAGACTGTTATGATGTTCTGAACCACGCTATATTTGCAAAAGTTTTAGTCTCTAAGTATCAGACCTGACAATTACCCCAACTTTTTGGGCCATTTCGAACTAAAAACTCAAGTGTGAAATCATCATTAGCTTACTCTCTCATAGTTTTTGCTCTTCTTTTCAATGTGATATTGACCTTCAATGCATTCCATTCTTAGCAGAAAGAATCAGAGGATGACACTGTCACTTCTAAAAAGGTCAAAGAATTGTCTGTCATCGATGGACGGCGTGCACAAAACTGCAACATCCTTCTCTCCAAGTGAGTCTGTAGCTTAGGAACCCACAGCCACCATCTTTGACCATTTAAGATTCATTCACAGTAATAAACCTTCCTGCATGACTCAATATAGAACAATTCTTTGTTTACTTAAGCCATTTTGTTGACGGTTGACGATGTGTTTAAAATAGAATAGCAGCCAAGCGTTTTATTCATAAGATGATCCTAGCCAGGATTTTTTCCCTGTTGCATCACAGGTCGCCATAGCAGTGGCAATAAACAGATGTCTGTGATCTCTCCCATAAGCTCACTTTATGTGTTTGATTAAATTGTACAGCTGTTAATAAAGCCTGGATTTCAGCAATTTTAAACATTTACTGCACCAAGAAACATTAGTTCAGTTATTTCAAAACTTCATGTTTTTTGTGCATACTGTATGTATGTATGTATGTATGTATTTGTTTATTTAGGTTTTACTTATTTATTTATTATGGTTTTACTTATTTGGTTTATTATTATTATTTATTTGTTTTTATTTATTAAGTTTATTAATCAATTAATTTATTAATTTTATTAATTAGTTTTTTTTTCATTGTTTATTGTTTTATTTATTTGTTTGTTTTATCTTTATTTATTTATATATTTATGTCATCACTTTTTGTGCTAATGAGCAGGTAGAGATTAATTTAGGTCATGAAAATCCACTTAGTATTTGGACATCATAAATAGAGATAATGTTCATCAGACTGAACAGAGCCATCAAAACACACAATATCTTCTAAATGTTTCAGCTCAAGGTGGTGTAGAGGTCAGTATGTGGAAAAGAAACCGTTGAATAATGTTCTTATCTTGGTCCGGCTAGTCTCATGCTATAATCTTTGACTTCAATTACCAAATTTGGTTTTCCTCAGTTTGGCATAAAGCCTGAAATTGGCTGAAACAGGGCTGGAAACATGTCGTAATTTTTTTTTTTTTACCTCTTCATTGTACATTGTCTTTAATCTCTGGAATGTCAGCCAACAAAGACATAAATATTAAAGCCCTGAAGAATGGGCGGCTTCATGAATTAATAAAAAATAAACAAGTTGCAGGCGTTATTGGACTATTTTTTAAAATAATTTTAATATGGTTAACAGGACTCGTGTCTCATGAACAGGCATGCTTTAACGGAACAATGAAAAACCACAGAAAAATATTTGGCTGTTAATATTTCAGATGTTTTGTAGCAATGCATTATGGGTACAGCCCTTGTTAGTTTTCTTTCAAGATCTATTATATATTCTACTTTAGTATACATAAATTTTTATATGTAATATTATTTGATATAAATTACCAATCAGTCGCTTGGACACATTTATTACTTATTTTGACTATTTTCCACAATTTATAATCAAATGTACTTCAAATACAAATGTAGACAATTTATAATTGTCATCAAAACTAATTTCAATTATTTAAACAGAACCCCATAAGTTTTAAGATCATACAAAAGTTAAATTCAACAAAATGTGTCCAAATTTTTGTCCGGTAATGTAAATGAGATATTATCATATAATAAATGGTGTTTCATTTCAATTCTCCTTTTAAACCACAGAATCAACCACTACCAGCAAAAACTGCAGTCTCTTTACTTCAAAAAGAAGTTTGCAGAAAGAATAGCAGAAATCAAGCCCAAAGTAGAAGGTAAATCCTGATGCCTCTATATCAGTCATGCGTGATCTATAGTAATGTTCTGTATGTTCACACAGTTATGTGAAATAAATCATACAAACACCTTTTAGGTTATGCAAGGTGTAGGTGTAATATTAAAAATGCAATTTTTCTCTCTCAGCTCTCAGTAAAGCCTCTAAGGAGGTTCTTCAGAGCAAGAATCTTCGACAGCTTCTGGAGGTGGTGCTGGCCTTCGGCAACTACATGAACAAAGGTCAGAGGGGCAATGCTTTTGGCTTCAAAGTGTCCTCTCTCAACAAGATCGCTGACACCAAGTCCAGCATCGACAAGTAAAGACAGGGCTTTGGTTTGTGTGAGTACTGTATATTAAACTCCTACCAGCCATGCAGTTACACAAGCTGTGTGTTTCTCAATAGGAACGTCACTCTCCTGCACTACCTGATTACCATTCTTGAGCAGAAGTACCCTAAAGTCAGCCTGATTCATGAGGATCTGCACAACGTTCCAGAAGCAGCCAAAGTCAAGTAAGAACCTAAAACTATTGCACTCATTTAAGAGCTTCTGTGTCTCTGGAAACAGTGTATGTAATAAAAGCAAATATTGGTCTTGGAACAACACTTTTAAAGGAGTTTTCCAGGTTTAGTACAAGTTAAGCTTAATCGACGGCACTTTGTGGCATAATTTTGATTAGCACAAAATTAATTTACACTGGTCCCTCACTTTCTTGAAACAAAGCAAAATTGTGGCTTACAGTGAGATACTTAAAATGGAAGTGAAAGGGGCCAATCTGTAAACGTTGAAATACTCTCTCAATCGTACGTCAACAAGACAAACAATATGCATATTACCATGATTTTAATATGAAAAATTCACTTACTGTTCTTTTATATGTGAAGTTATATCAAAGCTTAAAGCTCAAATAATGCACAGGTTTTAACAGAAAAATTAATGAAAGTGCTTTTATAAAATCATAAGCATTACGTTTCTGCTTTTAAATCCTCTAAAAAGTAATTGCTGTAACCTCAATGGAATGAATGTTTTGCAATATTTTTTTCAAATTATCAATGTTTCGCCACAAATGCTTCAACTGTTTGGGGCCAGAAAGACATTTTCTTTTTTCTTTTCTTTTTTAATTCAGCAAGGACACATTAAATTGATCAAAAGACAATTTATGGGTAAGACATTTATGTTAGTGAATTCTGGGAAAAAAAGAAAATTAAGTAGCACAACTGTTTTCAACGTTGATAATAATAAGAAATGTTTCTTGAGCAGCAAATCAGTATATTAGAAGGATTTCTGAAGGATCATGTGACACTGAAGACTGGAGTAACAATGCTGAAAATTCAGCTTTGCATCACAGGAATAAATAAAAATTTTAAATATATTAAAATATAACTTTTTTAAATGATTATAATATTTCACAATATTAATGTTTTTACTGTATTTTTGTTCAAATAAATGCAGCCTTGGTAAGCACTTCCACAAAGTTTTAAAAAAATCTTACCAACAGCAAATTTTTTAACAGGACCGCGTATTGAACCCGGAATATTCCTTAAACAGCCAATCAGATGTTAGGGGTAAGGTTAGTGCTGAGAGCTTGAACAGTTTAAGCCCATCGTTTCACTCTCATTTTGGGGGTAGTTTATTGTTCGGGATGGGGTTAGAACATGAACAAAATGTTAGACAGGAATGTTGTTCCAGCACCAACAAAAGTTGTTGATCCAGGAACAAGTCCTATTTGGCAAAACCATAGTCACTGTGTGAAGATACTGTTTGATGTGATTCATTCCTCAGCCATTCGAAATGAGATTAAAGAGTCTGCAAATTGTCCAGTGAAACATTATCTCTCATTATCTCTCTCTCCAACTTATTTTTCTTCCTTTTTTCCCAGCATGACTGAACTGGAGAAAGACATTAACAATCTGCGCACTGGCCTTAAAAGCGTGGAGACGGTAAGCGCCCTTCTCTCATTTTGTCTACAATTACAACAAGCTTTACAGCTTATGAGGTTATCCAGTGTAGCAAATGTATCTATTTATATAACAGCCATGCAACGTCATTGGCTAAAACATTATTTATGATTGCAGCACTTCAAAAGAGAAAATCACTGAGATTTGAAGTTTGAAGGCCTTGCTAGGTTACTAAGGTGTTTTCTTGGGAGATTTGGGATTAAGCTGAATTAAATGCACTCCTATTAAATATCTGTTATTTAAGTCAATGCATTACTTGTGTTTTGATAGCAGCCTGTCTCTCTCTCTCTCTCTCAACAGGAGCTGGAGTACCAGAAGAGTCAGCCTCAGACCTACGGCGATAAGTTTGTGTCTGTTGTGAGTCAGTTCATCACTGTGGCTGGTTTCAGTTTCTCTGAAGTGGAAGACTCTCTTCAGGACGCCAAGGATTTGGTAAGAACGAAAGCGCACCACAGTTCACTGAGCCTGAGGAGCTAATAGATGTTAAAGGTTTATGAGAGGTTTGAGCATAGTGAGGCCTGTCACTCTATCTGGCTGCTTAAATATGAGAGCTCACATAAAGTTGCTCCACTGCAGCTTTGAAGTCACCGTTAAACATCTGAAATGCCAGATTTTTTCCCCGCTCCATGCTGGCAAACATAACTCGGCCTTGTAGAAGTTAAATCACTGCTTTCGCTGGAGTTTATTGGGCTTCTGTCCGTCTTTGTGGACATTGGAACTGCTGGAAACGTGAACCTTAATCTTTAACTGCAGTAGGCTGAAGATCAGTTTCAAAGGCAGGTTCTTACAGTCTGATCCTGCTCATGAAGCTGCACATGGGATGGATTTGATGCTACCGCAGTGGTTGAATTTTGTGTTGGGATCTAGCTGGTTTTCTAAAGGGTTGGCAAAGGTACAGATGAAGGTTTGATCTTAGTTAGAAATTGAGGACCTGTAGATGTCTCACATTTCAATACATTTCAATACCTACTGTTCAAATTTTGGGGTCAGTGTGTTTATTTTTTTAAGGAAATTAATACTTTTATTCAAAAAGGATGCATTAAATTGAACAAATGTGACGTTAAAGACATTTATAATGTTACAAATGATTTATATTTCAAATAAATTGTGACCCTGGACAAAAAAAAACAGTCATAAGGGTAAATTTTTCGAAATTGAGATTTATACATCATCTGAAAGCTATAAATAAGCTTTCCATTGATGTATGGTTGGTTAGGTTTGGACAATATTTGGCCGAGATATAACTATTTGAAAATCTGGAATCTGAGGGGGAAAAAAAAAAAAAAAACAATCCAAATATTGAGAAAATCACCTTTAAAGTTGTCCAAATGAAGTTCTTAGCAATGCATATTACTAATCAAAAATTAAGTTTTGATATATTTACAGTAGGAAATTTACAAAATATCTTCATGGAACATGATCTTTACTTAATGTCCTAATGATTTTTGGCATAAAAGAAAAATCAATAATTTTGACCCATACAATGCATTTTTGGCTATTGCTACAAATATACCCCAGCGACTTAAGATTGGTTTTGTGCTCCAGGGTCACAATTATGTTCTTTTGAACTCTGTATTCATTAAAGAATCCTGAAAAAAGAGTATCACAGTTTTCACAAAAATATTAGGCAGAACAACATTGATAATAATAAGAAATGTTTCTGGAGCAGCAAATCAGCATACTAGAATGATTTCTGAAGAATCATGTGACGCTGAAGACTGGAGTAATGATGCTGAAAAAAATCCAGCTTTGCATCACAGAAATAAATTATATTTTAAAATAAATTCAAATAGAAAACAGTTATTTAAAAATTTAATTATTTCATAATATTGCTTTTACTGTATTTTTGATCAAATAAATGCAACATGAACATAAACTTTGTTCAAAAACATGAAAAAAAACCTTACTTGAAGTCTTTAAAGGGGTCATATGATGCGATTTAAATTTTTCCTTTCTCTTTGGAGTGTTACAAGCTCTTGGTGCATAATGTTCACGTAAAGAAAGAAGGCGTAACTTTTATTCTCGCTGTAGTATTGTTGACGCTGCAGCCATGTTGTGAAGGCGCTGTGTGATTCGTTGTGAAACTACTTTGTTTCACTTCGTCATGCCTGGAGCTGATCCGTGCTGGTCGCTGAGGAAATGCATAAACTTCGCGCTGTGGATCGCCGGATTGGCTTTCACCGTGGACGAAGCAGAGTTCAGCCCGGGGTCGTCACATGTGGTTGCAGCAAGCCCGCCCGCCGCCGCTCACTCAAGCCAGCCTCCGCTCACTCTAGCCCGCCGTGTGTGACGCTGTGTTTCGCTGTGAAAGCGAAACTACTTTGTTTGGTCTTCCAAAAGAGGACACAACTAGAAATCAGTGGTTAAGTTGTATTTACAACACTGTTCCAGAACAGTTCAACCCAAATATTCAGATGTGTCCAGCGCATTTTATGGAAGACTGTTTCCTGATCCTGGAAGAGTAGACTACAATGCCGGCTGTTCTGACTCAGAGACTGTAAGTATGTTTTTTATATTTAAAGAATTTGCCACTGACGATTCAAACGTGAGTTTTAAGCAGTGTAGAGTAGCGTTTGTAGTTTGTCATTTCTCCGATCACAAATGCAGACATGGTTTTATATTTAAGCGCGTAAAAAGACAGTATAAGTCATTATAATCCGTAATTATGTCCCCACTGGATGCAACAAATGCCTCGTTT